TGTTACAAGTCAGGAGCCCCGCGCAACAATAGCCAGGCGCCGTCTCAAAAGGATTGTTTGTTTACACGGGTTTCTCAGAACGCACCACTGATAGACAATAGACCCATGTCAACGGACTACCTCAATAGGGGCCCTAGAACCTTCTACACTTCTACGGCGTAAACACCTTTGTCTAGGCTACCAGGGGTCTCCAGAATGTTCCACGTCAAACTTATATAAGGGACCGTCTTCCGGCACACGGAGTTGAGTTGAGTTGAGTTGAGCCTTCCGAGAATCGTCGCAGCAAGCGCGTGTCGGTGTTAGTGACCAGTGCTAGTGCTAGTGGCAGTGACAGTGTAGTGACAGTGAGAGTAACAGTGTAGTGACTCTAGTGACAGTGTAGTGACAGTGTTGTAACAGAAGTGATAAATCCTGTAGAGGCTAGCTGTAAGTAGAAACATTGTAAATTAGAATAGGCTTTAGCTAGGTTTAGATAGGGTTAGGTAGGTGTTAGGTAATTCTAATATCTGTAAATATAGAATAATTAGTGTAAATAAATAGTTATTATAAAATCGCCAAGTTTTATTTGTAAAGAACCTGCTAAGCCCGCAACAATTGGTGTCAGAAAGCGGCATTATTTTGGCGATTTTAATTGTAAAATATTGAGTTTTGTTTTAGTTGTATTAGAGATTAGTAAGAATCAGGGATTTTGTTTCATATTAGTAGTTTGTGTCGTAAATTTGTTTACGGAAAAATTAGTTTATTGCTATTGTTGAGCTTGTATCATCTGAAAAATAACAATTTATTGTAAAAATAATTGTAATTGTTTTTCATAAAAATGGCTTTCAAAGGTGTGAAACTTGATGAGTTAAAAGTAGCTGATCTTAGAAGAGAATTAGAAGAACGTGATCTAGATACCAATGGAACTAAATCAGCCCTTCAGGCACGCCTTAAACAAGCTTTGACTGATGCAGGTGAAGATCCAGATAATGTTTTATTTGAAACATCTGATATGAATAAAATGCTTAAAAACCTAGAGTCAAAAATGTCGGAAACTAGTAAAACGTTAGAAAACCTAGAAGCAAATATTGAGTCTAAAATGTTAGAAAACAGCAAATCATTAGAGTCAAAAATGTCAGAAAATAACAAAAACTTAGAAGCTAGCATTGAGTCAAAGATGTCAGAAAATAACAAAAACTTAGAAACTAGCATTGAGACAAAAATGTCAAATGTAGAATCAAAAATGCTGAACAAATTAGGTGAATATTCTAGCAAAGTTGATAGTTTAGAAAGTAGGATAAATGAAATCGATGAGAAAGTTAACTGTATAGAAAAAAATCTAGAAGATAGGTTAGTTGATAAGCTTAGACAGGAGATGGCTGCATCGGGGAGCTTCACACCTGCGTCATCGGCTAGCACTGACGAACTTCGGCAGGATAACACCCCAGAAACGATCTCCAAGCCAGCGCCCACCATTGCTGCCGCTGTACCTCAGAACATCGTTCCTCATTTCGATGGTAAAACTCCCTGGGAGGACTACATGCTTCTCTTCGAGACAGCGGCTATGGTCCATGGGTGGACCGAGGAAACAAAGGCTTCGACGCTGTGTCTTGCACTACGGGGCGATGCGTTAGCTGTTCTGCATGCTATGCCAATGGCGGAGCGGAAGAATTTCGCTGAACTAGTAAGAAGATTGGACATGCGCTTCGGGCATCGACACATGGACCAGCTTTACCGATCTCAACTGCGGAACCGGATCCAGAAACCCAGCGAGTCACTTCAGGAGTTCGAAGCCGACATTGCTCGCCTGGTGAGAAACGCCTATCCATCGGTCACGGATGATGTCTACGAGAGTTTGGCAGTGGATAATTTCCTAGACGGACTACGTGAACCTAAAACTCAACAGGCAGTGAAGCTCGCCAGACCAAAGACCCTGAGTGACGCACTGACACAAGCACTGGAGTTCGAGGCTGTACGGCAGTCGGTGAGAAGTCAGGCTCGAGTCCGTGTGACAGACGCAGAACCTACAACTCCACTGGACATCGAGGACCTGGTAGAGAGAGTTCTGGAGGCACTCAAAAATCGTCACTGGCAGGCACGCTGTTGGAACTGCGGAGAGATGGGGCGTCCCCGGAGTAAACCTCATTCGATCCCTCCAGGATCAAAGCAGGAGTATGACTTCGAGTCAAATCATCGAACTGGGCCGAGCCATAAGAAGGCGGATGCACTCTTCAGAATACAATGTGGAGACAGCGGCAATCATTGTGTGCGCAAGGAAGACTATAGTGCATCGGTTCGTCGTGTGACCGTCATTAACGACGAAGAGGACAAGAAGAAGCTCTCAGAGGACCAGAAGGGGGACCCAGACCTAAGGCACATTATGCAGTGGAAGATGGGCAATAAAGGAAGATCATCGTGGCAGGATGTGGCTCCCTTGTCAAAGAACGGGAAGATGGTGGACGAGAAAGTCCGTCGCATCATATCTGGAGGAAGTGACAGGATGAAGGAGAGGTACGACGTGAAGGCCGAGAAAGGAGGGTTCAGACCTGGAGACCTCGTGTGGCTACACAATCCCCGAAGGCGTCGTGGATATTCGCCAAATCTCCAGAACTCGTGGGAAGGACCTTATGAAGTTATTTCCCGTCTAAATGACGTCATCTATCAGATTAAGAGGCAACCAGACGGCAAACCCATATTAGTCCATTTCAACATGCTTGCATCCTACAACGGGGATCACGGCAAACAAGAGGAACAACAAGTTCGGAACCTCTCAACCGAGCCAAGAGACATCGTGCCTGAGAGACGTGGAAATGAAGGACCGAGGCTGTTATACAAGGACCTCTTCACCTTGCCAGTGGAATATGCCTTGGCACACTGTGTAGCAGAAGACCTGAGAGCGTCGCGAGGTATAGCCACAGTCTTCAGGAAAAAGTTTGGAGGGACTGAAGATCTCGAGCGTCAGAGACCCACCATCGGCACCACCCTTCACCTGAAGCGCAATGGACAGCATTTGTTCTACCTCGTTACAAAGGAAACATCTAGCAAGAAGCCGTCCTACGAATCTTTGAAGAAAAGCCTGCAAGACCTGCGAGACAAGCTCCTTCGGATTGGAATCAAAAAGCTGGCTATTCCAAGGCTGGGATGTGGTTATGACGGATTGGAATGGAAGATTGTAAGAAATATGGTGCAGGAACTTTTCGAGGACACTGGCATCGACATTGTGGTCTGCGTATACAACCCTTGGGGAACCTCCGGTGGACCAGAAGATCGCAAGCTTCAGGGGAAATCTGTTCTGGGACAGAACAGTCTTAAGGAGGGGGTAGTGTTACAAGTCAGGAGCCCCGCGCAACAATAGCCAGGCGCCGTCTCAAAAGGATTGTTTGTTTACACGGGTTTCTCAGAACGCACCACTGATAGACAATAGACCCATGTCAACGGACTACCTCAATAGGGGCCCTAGAACCTTCTACACTTCTACGGCGTAAACACCTTTGTCTAGGCTACCAGGGGTCTCCAGAATGTTCCACGTCAAACTTATATAAGGGACCGTCTTCCGGCACACGGAGTTGAGTTGAGTTGAGTTGAGCCTTCCGAGAATCGTCGCAGCAAGCGCGTGTCGGTGTTAGTGACCAGTGCTAGTGCTAGTGGCAGTGACAGTGTAGTGACAGTGAGAGTAACAGTGTAGTGACTCTAGTGACAGTGTAGTGACAGTGTTGTAACAGAAGTGATAAATCCTGTAGAGGCTAGCTGTAAGTAGAAACATTGTAAATTAGAATAGGCTTTAGCTAGGTTTAGATAGGGTTAGGTAGGTGTTAGGTAATTCTAATATCTGTAAATATAGAATAATTAGTGTAAATAAATAGTTATTATAAAATCGCCAAGTTTTATTTGTAAAGAACCTGCTAAGCCCGCAACAGTATTATTATCAATTGCATGCACCCAACGTTTTTCGTTTTAAATCTTACAAGTATTTATTTTGTTCGCATATTTATAAATTATTTTATATTTTTTAGTGCGTTTAAAAAGTTTTGTTTAAAAAAAGTTTTTATTTATAAATTATTTTCTAATTTTTATTATACTTTATTGACCTGGAAAAAAATTATCAAACACATACAAAATAACCCTTGCCATAATAAAAGCTTAATCCCTGTATGCTAAATTTGCTAAAACTATAATAACATTAAAATCATTTTATGCTTACCTACGTAAAATTAATTTAAATTAGTTTACTACAAATTCAACCAGCATTGAGAAAATAACAGTTTGAGTTTTATTTTGGTTTTTCTAAATACTTACACCTGTCCATAACATTTTTAAATTTTGTTGTGTATCACAGGGGTAAAAGTCTTTGTGATTGGCAAAATCAAAGCAAGCTATCAGTGTCATGAACTCCCCCCCCCCTCTTCTCACAATACTGTATGTAGTCATTGTGTGGCCTAGTATTATAAATATTATAAATTACATGTACTGCTAGGTACCTTTTGTAAACTATATTGTGTTTTTATACATTCCCAAATACCTATTATTAATAGTGCATCTTAAAATTAAAGTAGTATTTTATTTTATTCAATTGAATTGAGAATAAACTATCCAACATTTTCAGTAATCTAACACCTTCCCAGCTTCCTACATGTCAGATCATAAAGGGGCAACTGTTTTCTGGAAAGTTGTTTAGTTTATTGTTATCACTTTTGATTCAAGCTAATAAAACTTAAACACTGGTCAACACTCACAGGAGCTATGGTCACTGGTACAGGTTAAGTGTAAGAAAGGGCCATGTGGCCCTAACTTTGCCGTATAAATAAATGATTTTTCATTTCATTTCATTTCATTTCACTCAAAGTTGTTGTGATACCGGTACATATTTTATTATGAAGCATTTAAACCTATAGTGAAAGTAATGTTTGGGATCCTAACACTTTTTAATATTACCTAGCATCCTCATACACATATCAAAAAGTGCTTTGTTTGATAAAAATACTTAATTCAAAAAACGTTATTGATATCAATTTTCTTTACAGACGAGACTATTTCGATTGGCTAGCTGAGTGGACAGAGAAGATTATCCCAGAAGAGTTTTACCAGCCATTTTTGAAAGAAGAAACACCTACTGTTGTTCCTTCTGATGTAGTTACAACCAATGGAAATGCAGGTAAATATAGGACATATCAAGGGTGCATTGTAATTTCCTTTTGTTAAGTTTATTTGTTGTATTTTTGGTAAACAATCTCATTTTTAATCTTCTTCTTGCAACATAGCCTATATAGGCCTAATTAAATATTACTAACTATTGGTGTTACTGTTAGTTAATATTTTTGGCATGAATTCCCTCACAATAGGTATAGACCTAATTAATTGGTTTTTCATTTGTGTAATATATTATGCTCAATGGTATTAATCCAATTGTGCTATTATGTATTTGTAACATACTTGTGTAAATGGCTTGTAATTAAACATGAGTTATGTTACAACTCTGTTATTTAAGATTTTTTGGTATTTCACATAGCTATCATCGTGACCAATCAATCCATAAGGTGATGTTAAATTTCTGTAGTTTTAATTCCTGTAGTACAGATCCCTAAGGTCGATTTGTCTAATTCAGATCTTCCTTCTAGTTAGTTTATATAACCATGCCAAATTTTGTAAGGATCACTTCAGCTGTTCAGGAGGAGTAATTGTGATTCACATGCAAGAATGTAGTATAAGAGCTTTGCTCCCTCTGCTTAATGAATTCTCAGCTTCATTTGTATATCTTGGATATTAGGATTTCTAGTACTTGATGACTTGACTTACGTTAATACTGCATATCGTTGTGTATTTGCATATTGTATAATACCTTGTAGCAAACATTTTAAGCTATTTCAATAGCGTTGTTGAAGATTACTTTTAGAAATTTTTCCTTACTTTGAAGAGGCATCCTCAGTGGCTATGCTGAGTCTATAGCTACTGAGCGTGCCTCTTCAAAGAGTAAAACTTCTGACAGAAATCCCTGAACTGACGACTTGTCGGTAAAAACCTCTTCCTAAGAAACCAACTTTAAAAGGTTAAAAAAAATCATTAGTTCCAGAAGAAAAAAAAGAGGCAAACCCGGAAAAGCTGATCAACGTTGAGTCAACGCATGGGAAGCACAGAGTTGGGTTTGTCGAGAGGAAGGTGAGACGAATCGGAGGATGGATTCACAGAATAGTGAAGTTGCATAATGTAACTCCCTGCTACACCACTGCAGTGAAGTCCAAGGGCATTAAGATGTGGACAAAGTTAGCAAGGGAGGAGTCTGACCTGCCGCAGTCTGTCGTTGAAAAACTGAGAGAAACTCCGCCTCCCATTGAGGAGCTCGCAAGGTACATTTTGGAAATTCTAGCTTGAAATTGTACATTATTTCAGAATAGGCTTAGAGGGATGCAACTTTATTAGTTAGATATTCCATTGGTGATTGGCAGGATTTGAGCCAGGGACCTCAGGAATTGAATTGTCACACAGGTTATGGTGTGACGGTTTAAACTTAGATCATGACAGTGAATGTTTGGATTAATACCATCACCATGATTAGGCCTATTAGATTACTTAGATTATGCATTTATTTTTAAAAAATGTTCAGTGGTTTACAAAACAATTTGCATAGTGTGGATTACCCGCTTAATTAATTGAATTCTGTTCAACCCATTCAAAATTAATACACATTTAGGTTGGAAGGTGGGTAGCAGATCCATTATTTTGCCATAGATTATTTTGCCACAAAACAAAGTGTTGCAACTCTGTACATATTTTTGATCTTATAAGTTTTTCTCAATTTAAAGATCAATTGTTTTTGTCATGTAATGTGAGTGTAAAAAACCCTAAAAGCATTTACTAGACTAGCACTAGATTGCTATATTCCTTTCCTTCTGCAGTAAAATGAAAAAAATAATGACTGAACTCTCCATGTGATAACTGTATTTAAGTCTCAGTTAAGATTTTGTTTATTCAAGGGCAGTAGATTCAGCTGAACGTAAAAAATGTATGCGTAGGTTAAATTAGCTAAATCTATATAAAGCCTATGTATAAAATTTGTCATAAGTTAGCTTTTAGTCTATTTAATAACACATAAATAACATTTACACAATGATTTGTATCTAATACAACTATGAATCAGTAATCATCAAGTTTATTATTGAGAAACTGTTCAAAATGTGCAACTTATTCCTGTTTCAGGATCCTGGGTGATGAGTTCACTCTCTATTACGGGTTTGACCGAGAAAGCTGTGCCATCTCAAACACTCAGAACATTCTGGCAGAATCATTCGAAGCTACTGGTCGCGGAGGGATCATGACTGAGCACATAGAAGTTTACAAGGCACACAATCTTGTACACAAGTATGTTCCAGTAATCTACTTTCTTCTTGTCACTTGTAAATATCTTGTTGAATGGTAAATCTATGAGTTCTCACATTCTGTAGTTTATTTCAGTGAAACAATAGTTGATATTTTTAATCTGCTGCAGTGAAAATAGGGTGTTTAAAATTACTGATTTGTCGGTTGCAAGTTTTAGTTGGATTTTGTTTTACGGGTGTCGGTTATTTTCTGCTTTACATAGATAAAGTTACCATCCACATAATAATATTATTATAAAAATATTAAAAATAATGATAATTTCCTTTTTGTAAGTTTTGTTATTGGTGATATATGTTTATGTTGTAACAGGGATTGTTGCTTGTAAAACTTAAGTTTCAAATGCTAAAGAAAAATGTCAGCAAACATTCTTCAACCAACAATAAAAACTTGTTATGTTTAAGGCATGTATTATATGGTTGCTAATAGAAAATCAGTTATATAAATTTTGCATTGTGAGTAGGGTAGGCACTTATTATGTTACTATTGTAGCTACTAAAAATTGTACCTATGTGAATTGTTTTTGTAAAAATTTCAACTTATAATTCAATTTGATTGTTTACAGACAGATTGTAAAATTCAAATGGAACGGAATATGTATCCACACTGAGGAGGGCCCCGCTACGGACGGCTTCAAGATTATTGGACAAAGAGGACAAGCTGCTTTGGTAGACAAACTCGGACAACACTTCTACACTGTTAAAGTAAGTTATTGGTCCAGATGTGCTCAACCTTGTAAATTTTATAAATTTCAGTATAGTTTAACTCCTCATATCCACTCACCACAGAACCGGACCCCTGTCCAACTAATGATTTGGCCGGGCTAATAAATGCAGGAAAAGTAGTGTTAAATCTCTTTTGGGATTATAAAAAATTACCAGTAGGCCTACACATGATTTTTAATGATACAGAAATAAAAGTATAATAAATTGAGATATCGTAACATGTACACAAATGTTCCATAAAGATGGAGGTAAAATCACCACAATAAATTGGTTTTTGGCTAGGACATCCCTAGTGAAAAAAATCCAGTTACTGGCCAGGTTCTGGCCCAGGTTCCAGAATTGGCAGGAACCTGGGCCAGAACCAGAACCTGGCCAGTACTGTTCCAGAACCTGGCCAGTACTGTTCCAGAACCTGGCCAGTACTGTTCCAGAACCTGGTCAGTACTGTTCCAGAACCTGGCCAGTACTGTTCCAGAACCTGGCCAGTACTGGTTCAGAACCTGGTCAGTACTGTTCCAGAACCTGGCCAGTACTGTTCCAGAACCTGGCCAGTACTGGTTCAGAACCTGGTCAGTACTGTTCCAGAACCTGACCAGTACTGGCCCAGAACCTGGCCAGTAACTGTTCCAGAACCTGGCCAGTACTGGTCCAGAACCTGGCCAGTAACTGTTCCAGAACCTGGCCAGTACTGGTTCAGAACCTGGCCAGTACTGGTTCAGAACCTGGCCAGTAGGCCTACTGTTCCAGAATGTATTGGTTGTTTGAGCTTGCGAAGACGACCCACTTTTACATGAGAATGATGTGAAAAAACATAATTGTGTTAGTATTTTATCACGTCTTTCACATTTTCTCAAATTAAAATACAGTAACGTTTTTGTATCCATAGTTTTTTGTATTTTACGTGAATAACTCGTTAAAAATATTTACCTTTTTACATGAGGGAAAGGAATTTATCGACGGATTTTCCAAAAAATTAAATTTGTATGCTGATATTTTTACATTATTGGTACATGACGATTGTTTGTTATTTCCATTTATATAACTCTTTTGTAGAAAATGATTGTAAAGGGTCACACTCTTGACTTACACTTTCCAATCAGACAAATACTGCCATTATCTTATCACAATTTCCACTCTTTTCTACTTACTGAAATCAATGGCAAGACTAATTAATTTTATATAGGCCTAAACCATGGTTATTGATGGGCATGATTACTTCTTACTGAAATGGTTGAGGACCCTATAATTCTGCAGTTTATGTAAGATTAGGTACTCAATTACAATAGACACTGTTATACCTAATAAAAAAAAAACTTTTTTGTTATTTCCGTGCTATTCAAACCGTCAAACAAAATTAAAATAACCAAATACATATCTAATATTACCATGAATGTATCTAATATTACATGTCTAATATTAACATGAATCTCAATCATACCTAATATCACACAATTTTACGGATTGATACACAATTTTTAATTGAGGTTAATTAACTTTTTAAAATATAACAATATTGATTGTTAAATTAACTAATTTCTATTGAAACTGTTTGTAAAGATGGCTTTATGCCAGCATTTTATCGATTTTTTATGTAGGCATATAAATCTTAGGCCTACCTTAGTGACAAAATCAAAAGACAATGCACAATTTACAGGATTATTAGGTCTACTAGCTCCTTTGTTGGTAAAAGAATTATTATTTGTGAATTTTCTTCTATTTTAGTCAGCAAGGTAATACTGCTGTTAAATTGATCATCCATTACAAAATATTTAATTTTGTTAATGTTTATCCATAGGTATTTGAAAAATTACCTCATTAGCAAATGTGTAGGCCTTAATCAATATTCAGCATTATACTCCAACATGTATGTATTTAAAAATATTACATTAGATCTTTGCAATTATAAATAATAATGAATTTTAAAGACATAAAGATTATCTAAAGATTGAGTCCATGAGCCATTTATGGGATGCAGTCTTCGTCCTCCTCAGTCGTTTCTCCCTCCTCAGTTGTTTCTCTCCTGAAAAAAGTAACATTATATTATTAACATTGAATATATTCAACTGGTGTTGGATGTAAATTTTTAAGAGATGACTCATGAACAGATTTCTTATTCTAAAGCAGAATCAGAACACCTGGCTTCTTTCAATTTACTGAGCCCTTTTTTGCCATTAACTCCTTAAACATGTCATTTTGCTTTGGTTGAGAAAATGTTGCAGTTTCCAATAAAAAAAGTGTTGGTTTTAATTTGTTTGTCTATAGGCCTACCTATTAGTTTTGATATCTTAGAGAGATAGGCTATGTGCAAATAAATCAAGCATCAACTCTGTAAGGCAAATGAAACATTAGGCTAAGTTTTTACATTTTGCTTTGATGGTGACTGACATCATCTATTAATCAATCATTAGGTATCAAATTACCTTCCTTCCTACTTGCTAACAATTCGATTTCATGACGGTCTTAGCCAATCTTTTATTACCGTCTTGATGTTTCTTTTTCTTTGGCCTCTGGAAACTGGTTGAAAAACAGCTTCTGTAAGAAAAAACAAGAAGTTTGCTATTATTAATAGTAAGTAGGCTATGTAGCACTAGTAACGTGTCAAAATCTAATCTCAAAACCACCAAAACTTTGAAAAAGGTTTCAGCTTGAAAAGGTTCCATCAGCGAGTTTCTAGATTCAAAACTTTAAATGGGGAAGACAGACAAAAAGAAATTAAACCTTTGACAAGAACTTCATGCACACTTTTTTAACTTTATTTTTTTGCAATCTCATGTAACGGTGATTTGCTGTTGGGAATAAATAAATTTGATTGAATCAAAATCAGCTTAATATATTTCTCAATGCTGTAGTAAAAGGGCCTAAAAAATCAACCATAATAAAGTTTTCCCAGATCTACTCATGCTTAAATAGGGTACAGTTCACAAAACTCGGCATGGTGCAATAAGGTGCTTCGACAAGCATAACCCACGCACATAAAATGTGCCGCAGCCGATTCCCATTCAATTATCACAAATTTCAAAAGTATGGATACAATAACCAAGCTATGTAGGCTACATACCTACATTTATTAACAACATAAAATTTGTTCTAGCCTAACTTACTTTCAGTTAAGAAGTAAACAGGCCTAGAAAAATCCATACCGCTTAAGAAACGTAACAGATTTTGACGCAAATTGGTTAGCTAGAACTTAACTTATATTTACTTATACTTAACTTAACCTAGGATATGTAAAATGTCGCAAAGTTCAGGTAAATTAGAACAAACTGGCTGTCACTGTCAATACCGTATGAATAAATTATTGGTAAGTTATCAGTCGAGAAATGTTACCAATAACTTAATTATAACATAAAATAGGCCTCATCCATAGTGTGACAGTAAATAACAAATTAAGTTATTCTAGGAATTGGTCAAACAAATACGTTAGATAGGAGTACATTTTCGGTTTGTTGGAAGTTATTTTTGGTTAGCTAATGCTCCCTAGCCTAAGTTTAATTTACTGCGCTTGGCTCGATTTTATTTTCATCCTACCCTATCTAGCAGTACCGGTAGCCTATTTTTAACTTATGCCTAAGGAATTTATTTTATGAAATCAACTATCCTTTAAGGGTGTAAGAATTATTTAGGTGTAGGGCCTAACAATTGAATTTAAGATATTTAACTTGTAACCTAACTTTTAATCTAGGCTTTGACTAAGGCTGACTGCATAGGTTTAAGAAAATGATTGTAGTAGGCTAAGTTAGGTATATTCCTAAATAGGTTATTAAAAGTTGCAGATTTGAAACTGTGGCCAATGATTCACCTAAGTAAGGTTAAAAAGTGATATCGCATTAGGACATGCAGTAAAACGTTAGGACTCCGTTCAAGTAAAAATCAAACTTTCAAAGAAAGCCCCATAAAGGCTATAGGCCTACTAACAAATGTACTAAGATTAAATCCAATGCAAATTTGTTAGGTAGTCTAAAAAAACTTAAAACTGTAAGCCAAAGCCTGGCTAACTCATTTAGGTTAGTTTTCTAGCCTATAAGTAACTTAACTTAACTACCGGTTTATAACTTAACCTAACTTTAATCAGTTTAAAGAAAGACTAGATGTTGCAGAATTTTTATCGAACCTAATTTTTGATGTGTAACTCACATTGAAACTTATTAACTAAAGTAGGCCTAATGTTATTTTGAATTCCTTACCTTGGTTTGGGAGACAGCCTCTTCAATAACGATATTCTTTGGTGAAAGAAAACTAAAAAACTGAAGGTAAACTACCTAACAACAAAAATCTTAGGCAACTAATATAATATGGATACGATTATACACTATTACATTTTAAATTGAAAGGACTAAGTTATACTTTTGCAAAGTCAAGAGGTTAGGCACAACAGCCAAGCAAAGATAAAGATGGCGATGGCGACGCCGATCTTTTGACAGTTGGAGTTGGAACAGAAAAATCAGTCCCCTCCCCTCCTCTGCCACGGACTGCACTGGACCCTGTCATTAGCTCTCAGTCTGGCGCGAAAATTCTTTTAAATTTTAATCTTGCTCAATTTTTCAAAACAATACAGTAGTTATTTTAATCAATCTTTTATTTTGGTTTTAGAGATAATTATTCTAGGACACATACTTGTCCTATGTATGGGTATGTGGTAGTACTGTAGTAACTTTAATATTTTACAGGAAAAAATCACAAAAGTTGCAAAAAATATAAACATAAACCCTAATTTTCACAACACTGAGAGGTTGCACCATTTAGATTTAAATTATAAAGACCAAAATATACTAATTTTGATCAATATAGGTTAAAAAAACACAGTTTTCCTCTATTATATATAAAATTACATATAAGTTACAGTAGCTTTTAAACCGTAATTTTACAGTAATAGGCGTTGTAAAATTTTTTTCAGAATTTAAAGGGCTCTAACATACTTGTTATTTATAAAAAATTTTTGGCCAATTTTTTAAAATAAGATTTTGCTATTATTTCATGGGTTTTTATGGAAAAGTCACCATTCAAAATCTGAATTCTGGACCAGAGGCCATTATCAGCCAAGAACACTGCCAGTATCATCCAGTACCAGCAAAAACCTGGCCAGTATCAGAATCAGAATATAGTTTTATTGCCATAATAATACAAAAATGTACTGGGCATAAGTCACTAAAACTATCAAGTAAAACCAGACCCATTAAAATAAAGATACAAACTTCAATATCAGCCCAGTACTCGCCAGAACCTGGCCAGTATCAGCCCAGTACTCGCCAGAACCTGGCCAGTATCAGCCCAGTACCCTCCAGAACCTGTCCAGTATCATTCCAGAACCTGGCCAGTATCACCCAGAACCTGGCCAGTATCGCCCAGAACCTGGCCAGTATCGCCCAGAACCTGGCCAGTCTCGCCCAGAACCTGGCCAGTACTTGTCAGTACTGTGGCAGAACTGGTCAGTTCTGTGACAGTACTGGCCAGAACCTGGACCAGAAATTTTTTTTCACTAGGGATGACACACAACACAAATACAGTCTGACAGATACACAATTAAAGGATCTTGAAACATAACATTGATATTTTTTCTTTGACCTACATTTACAAACCAGGCCTAACTTAATATTGGCATAGAATATGGAGACACTATTAGATTTTAGTTGGAAATTAATTCTTAACATTCTATTTTTTAGCAACTGAGTTTGATTAAAGTTGTAATATTTACCTATTGATGAAATGTGCCAAGATAAATACAGTATCTTATGTTTCAGGCAAAAATGTCCTTCTTTAACAGTGGATTGTATCCTGTCTGTGCCGATACGGATCAACTTAGTACAGTTTTTAAGTAAGTATTATTTTCACCATTACCTTACGTTTTTACAAACTTAATTTTGTGTCCCGAGAACACTAAGTTTACACATTGTTTAGGACATATTGTTTACAGAGTAGGATTTAGTGATGGTTAAACCAGAAATTTTTAATCTCCTAACCTAAACTTGAAACTATTTTAGTTGCTTTGTCAAGATTACAAAATAAAAAACAACAAAACACACAGGTAATAATAAAAATGTTTATTGTGTACAATCAAAACTGAAGGAAATAATTATCCTGGCATATTAACATGAATATGTACAGTAACTAGTTGTATTAATAGTCAAAGCTAATACACTTCAAAATTATAGAAAATACATGATTTTTGATAAACAACTAATACTAGAATAGTTTTAAAAAACTTCTGACGCTAACATAAACATAAATTAATAGATCAGTTAAAGTAAGTTCTTATCCTAATTTTAAAACTATTTTATCATGGCCTTTTAGAGTATCTCAGAGTAAAATAGATAAAGCGTTTATCTTAACTGTATTTTTTTCTTGACACTATCCTTTTAGGAGTAAAAGGTTTTACTAATATAATGTGTGGTACATAAATTGTTGTTAGAGAACCATGAATGTAGAATACTATCCATTTTCATAGTAATGTCAATGTAATGAAAAATAATGGTTTAAATACAATTGTAAAAAGAAAACCGCAAAAATACCGGTAGCCGCATCTGTACCGATTTTTTACTAAGAACCGACGTACAAAATATTGTACCGTACCGAACCGTACCGACCTTAAATTTTCTGTACCGCAGACCCCTATTAAAGTCATGTATGTGTACATATAGGCAAATACCACATTAACAAAAATTTGCAGAACACAAATCTGATAAATTTTAATTGTTTTTACTTCACTCCATCGACAAGTATGAATAGAAAAATACTTAAAAACTACAAAAAATAATAGTGTTGCTTTGAATCCAAGTGCATCGATTCAAATAGAAAATTTTTGGAATCAAATCAAAAAAACCTTTGCTGCTTTGTTCACCCCTAATATTATTTATTTACAAATATCCTTTATAATTAAGTTTATCGGTTCATGAGTCTAAAGTTTTTCAGTTATTTATTTCTGCTTGCAGGACTGTAAAACTAAGTGATTTTCCTGCACCATTAGAAGTTGCAGAGCTGAGGAAGTTCATCTTAAATTTCTTTAGTCAAGAAACTGATGCGGAACTTGTGTTTGGATCAGACTTTTCCGTCACTGAACATTTGGGACCTCTGAAAAAGTAAGAAATTAATATTTTACCATTCATTTATTTAAATAATTAAAGTAGATAATTCTCTAACAACCCTCTCAATCTCTCCCTTCAGATAAACAATCGTGCAATAACACAAAATGATACACAAAATCAGTATTTTGGAAATTTCCCTCTGAAAGAAGTTAAAAACTAACAAAACTCTAAAGAAATGCATGTGTTTGAACTCTCTACCTGTGTGAATCAATTCAAATCCAGGCCTGACTTGACTGTACCTTATGGGATGGGTAACCCAACTAAGAATATCACCTTTTTGTATTTACGAACTTAATGAAAAATCATAGAATATTCTTACCAAAATAAATAATCTAGTCACCTTTACAGAAGCCAATCCTAACACATGACTATAGTTGCTGCCATTGCAACATCTTCTGTCTTCTTATTTTCTGCTGAACACTTCTCATTGCCATGAAAACATTTGAGTTAACACACGTAAAGTTCATACACACAAAATGATTAATGACAACTAGTATACATGTTGCTCGAAATCGAGCAATTGCAAAGAAGTAGGCTACAGGTGTTATTTATAAACAAATGACTTGTTTAAAAACTAATAACAGCCATAAATTCCGATGATTTTAAAAGAGTCGACTAAAAGATTATTAACGGAAATACTCACAATTTACATAACAGTCCTATTCCAGTTTAAAGGGTTAATTTTTTACTATCAAACTGCTCATGGACGGGAAAAGGTAAGCTTACAATTTAAGTCAGCGTAAAAAGGCTGTCAGCTTTTATAATGTACTATACCTAAGTTATTTAGCCAATTCGTAGACAATAAGGTTTTAGGCTACTTTAAACTCTACATAACAGAGATAGGCAAACACTGGCAGAACTCTGAAATGGTGTTATTTATCATAGCCATACTCATATGCCAAAAGCTTAAAATAAAAATTCAATAATTAATAACTTATACATCATTAAACACAAACCAACATCCAAAACTATACACATTTTTAATACAACATAGATAATTTACATATTGACTTTTTACAATAACATATGATCTTCTCACTTTTAAGTTTTGCTTTGCAACGGGAAAAATCTGTTTCATAATCATTAGAATAGAATTATAATAAATAATCTATCATGAAGTTTAAGATTAAATAAACCTACTACATAGTTGTTTTATTTTTTTGGATCAGCTGTCTGAAATTGTGAAATAGGCATTTGACAGTTCTGGTTGTTTACATTTAAATGTCAAAGCAAATGTAAACATTGTGAATTCCCTCATGCTTCCATGGAGACCAATTATTAATATTCACTTCGTGACAACAGCTGGAGTTTCAAAACAATGTTTTTTCCCATGTTAATCTTATGGATAAATACGAAACTTTAAAAGGCCCCAGGGCCTCACTCTCTAATTATTTACCTAAAAAGAAAGTTTCCTGCACAACTTCACGTTACGCTCTTTCCAATGACACCAAAAACATGGCAATCGGTTCAGTAGTTTCGGAGGAGTAATTGTCACAAAAATCCTGCTTGCGTATTAAATAAGTATAGATTACACAGAACATTTATACATGTTTGGCCGGCCAAATAGTAAAAAATTCCAAACTGCGTAAGTGTTGATGCCGCTAATACGTACGATAACTGGGCAACATAACTTGAAACTTAAGTCTGTTAATTATAGGTTTGGCGATAGTAACAGGTAACTAACCTATTTATTTTAGCTACCTGTTACTGTTTAAGAGGCAAATAATAATAATATGGATAACAAATTCTTATCTCAATTCGCTAAATATTATCAATAAGTCTCTATGGCCCATAACACTTCTTCTTGGAGCTACTTAGTCGCCAACAAAGATAAATTTTAATCCTTTTCACCATTTGAATAATTTTATTTGAAGCATCTTACAAACTTTTGTAAATGCTACAACAGTATAGCAGCTGTTTACTAAATATTATCATTAGTTTATAGTTAGACATAATCTGTTGAGAACATAACTTTCTTACTTTACTTTGAGGATAACATTTCAGAACTTTTGTTTTTACCCTCCTAAGTATACTATGGTGATTTGTTTATTACAGGTTTGCCAGTGAGCAAGGTCTGAACTATCGTTTCATGAAGTCCGCCGAGGGATTGACCAGTTGGGACAGTGTTGCATTGTTTAATAGACTCAGTCCGTTAAAGATTCGAGACAGATTGATAAACATTCCTGATCATCAGGATTTGAAGTTCTTCTTGGTTCCACCTTGTGAATTCTTGTAAGTAATGCATATTTGTATCACTATTGGCTGTTCCTTTTGTCAATATCATTTACTATTTACGTCACATGTTTTTTTAAAATTATTGTCTCATCATTCTCTGTATTTCTGTAAACTTTTACTTAACATTTCCTTTTTAACCCTGTAGCAGCAAACCGCACATGGAATGGATTAAAGGCTGGGCAGCTGAGAACTTTGCTGAAGAATTTAAACTTATTTCGGAAGAAGAGAAGAAACCAAAACCCCCTTCAGTGGATCAGAAGAAACCGAAACCCCCTTCAGCAGAACAGAAGAAACCGAAACCCCCTTCAGTAGGACAGCCCAAACAGACCCCTAAACAAAGACCAGGTAAAGTACACTTGAAGCTGGAGAGTTGAACTATTTGAAAACCCTTAATACAATATACTAGAAATCAAGTTGTAGATTTGTAAACTAACTCAAGGTACTTGTCATTTAAACATACTAGTGTCCCTGTTGCTCGAAATCGAGCAATTGCTAAGTATTACAGGCGTTATTTTAAAACGAATAACAGTCATAATTTTTGATGACTTTAAAAGATTCGACTCAAAGATTATAGAGTACTCAAGATGTGCATAACAGATCGATATAATCAACATTTCTTGTAAATATCTTATCATTTTTCAAGAGCTGATCTTGTTTTTTAGTGTTTTCTACAAATAGCCTTATTCATAGCCGCATTAGGTTGTCCATAATAACGATTATAAATATAAAAAAAAATTATTTCTATTTCTTCTCCTTGATGGTGTTCTATGACTTTCCTATGTTTCCATAGTTTGTAAATCGGCTCTTTCAACAATTACTAAGAAATGTAGCACAGTGTTAATTCAGTTTTCTTTTTAGTATATCAATTTATCCAGGCTCTCTCGTTTTTTCCATTGTAATATTTACGCCAATCCAAATTCAAATATTAACTATTTAATTTCAACCAAGTAAGTAAATGTTTGTAGCAAACTAACTGTTAAATTAGCAAACTTATTGACTGTTTACAATGTTCTTCTTCTCACTTTTAATATCTGACAAAAGCTAGAGTTTCATAACAATATTTGTCTCCCATGTTAATCTTATGGAGAAATACAAAACTTGTAAGGGCCCCAGGGCCTCACCCTCTAATTATTTCCCTAAAAAGAAAGTTTCCTGCACCACTTTACTTTATGCTCTTTCCAATGACACCAAAAACATGTCAATCGGTTCAGTAGTTTCGGAGGAGTAATTGTCACAAAAACCCTGCTTGCGTATTAAATAAGTACTAGTGTACATGTTGCTCGAAATCGAGCAATTGCAAAGAAGTACATGAGTTACATATACCCAAATGACTTGTTTAAAAACTAATAACAGTCATAATTTCCGATGATTTTAAAAGAGTCAACTAAAGATTATTAACTAATGGAAATACTCACAATTTACATAACAGTCCTATTCCAATTTAAAGGGTTAATGTTTAACGATCAAACTGCCCATGGACGGGATAAGGTAAGCTTACAATTTAAGTCAACGTAAAAAGGCTGTCAGCTTTTATAATGTACCATACCTAAGTTATTTAGCCAATTTGTAGACAATAAGGTGTAGGCTACTTTAAACTCTACAGAACAGAGTTAGGCAAAAACTGACAGAACTCTGAAATTGTGTTATTTATCATATGCCAAATCCTTAAAACAAAAGTGCAATAATTAATACCATTAAACACAAACCAACATCCAAAACTATACACAATTTTAATACAACATAGATAATTTACACATTGACTGTTTACAATTATCATATGTTCTTCTCACTTTTAATTTTTGTTTCGCAACGGGAAAAATCTGTTTCATAATCATTGAAATAGATTTATAATAAATAATCTATCATAAAGTTTAAGATTAAATAAACCTACTACATAGTTGTTTTTTTTTTTTTTTTTTTGGATCAGCTGTCTGCAATTGTGTAATAGGAATTTGACAGTTCTGGTTGTTTACATTCAAATGTCAAAGCAAATGTAAACATTGTGAATTTTCTCATGCTTCCATGGAGACCAATTATTAATATTTAACTAGTGGCTTGTAGGGGCAATAGCCCCTATATACAGTATATGTAATATATTCTAATAATTATTTTGTACAAATTATTTGTCTCATGGGTTACCGTACCCTACCTTGAATTATCGTTTAAATTTTTTGTATATTATAATAATGTATAACAGTTATCACATACCTGCATAATTCATTTTTATGTCTGCTCTGTTTAGGATAAAAATTCAAAATGACTCTTCATGTGGTGGGTTTGTAACATAAATTTTCTAATCATAATACAGCAAAAGAACATTTTCAATAATCTTCACTATTAATTAAATATATATACATTTTTTTTTTATATAGACAAATTCACTTAGAAAAACACAACACATAGAGATAATGTCATCTTCCAAATTGTAAAATACTAATTCTGTAACAAAATCTCTCTGAAAACAACATTTGTTGTGTAGTATCCATTTTGGTCCATTCCTTGGTCTTTATTTGTTTCTATTTCTATTTTAACGTCATCTGGCCGCTTTACCCGGCTAAAAGCAACATAAAGTTGACCATGGGTAAACACCGTTTTTTTTTTTTTTTAAATAAATTCCAACTTTTGGGAAGGTTTGGCCTTGCGCTTTATTTATAGTAATGGTGAAAGATAATCGCAATGGGAATTGAATCCTTTGTAAATTTAAAGGGCATATTAGGATCTGTAGATATTAGTTTTATTTTTGGCATGAAAAATATGTTCCCTTTCCCTACTCCAGTAATTACTACTAACTTTACACTTTTTTCAGACATACCCAACACAACCAATCGTACTCCATTAACTAATCCAGACCCTATTTCTTATGAGCATCACTATTGAACCAACTTTTAAAACTAATTTGTGTAGTGGCATTCCAGATGGTGTAATTGAATTTATAAACTCAATTGGTATGTTCAACCTCTCTGTAGGGTCTTCTGAAACTACTTCATAATTACTGTAGTAGATTTTTAATACTTCTTCATTTAAATTATCACAATGTTCATTTAAAGGGCATACAATTATTTGATTGGAGTAGTTTTGAATATTTTCTGGATTTATTGAGTTGCCATAAACTATTGCACAATCAGAGAGAACAAAGTTATCTGGAATGTACTACTTCATAATTACTGTAGTAGATTTTTAATACTTCTTCATTTAAATTATCACAATGTTCATTTAAAGGGCATACAATTATTTGATTGGAGTAGTTTTGAATATTTTCTGGATTTATTGAGTTGCCATAAACTATTGCACAATCAGAGAGAACAAAGTTATCTGGAATGTCAATTGCCGGTGTTGCCCTATTGCTCTCTAAGATTCCATTACCTAATATAAGCGTAGAAGCCAATCACAAAATGCTGTTTCATTTTCATTTGCACGCATGTTTACTTTCAAATGCACTATAGTTACATACAATACATATATTACATACTACCTTTAACACTATTAATACAACTTTTGTAGCCAATAGTCAATGACATTACCATATGCTTTAAATAAATCTAAACCACATGTTTTAAAGTAAACAAATCGGACATGACCTGGATTCCCATGCTATTTAAATGTGATTTATTTTATCCTGTAATAACCTTTTGGTGCATAAGTAAGAAAAATGAGTATTTTTCCCCAAAACTTCATGCCCAGACCTTTAAAATGAGACCCCTTCCAGCTTTCTACGGCCTCCAGTTCGCTCACAATTTCATTGTAAAATTTTGGGCTTACGGAATTAGATATATAGATTTCTGACAACAGCTGGAGTTTCAAAACAATGTGTTGTTTCCCATGTTAATCTTATGGAGAAATACGAAACTTTAAAGGGCCCCAGGGCCTCACTCTCTAATTATTTACCTAAAAAGAAAGTTTCCTGCACAACTTCACGTTACGCTCTTTCCAATGACACCAAAAACATGTCAATCAGTTCAGTAGTTTCGGAGGAGTAATTGTCACAAAAATCCTGCTTGCGTATTAAATAAGTATATATAGATAGATAATCCAGAAATATTAAAAAAAGACGTTGTAATTTTTCACTTGTAATTTGTTTAAATTTTAAATTTTGCAACCATAACTGAAAACAAAGTCTTCCGATTCTAGTATTAATTGGTAAGGATGAACTGAAGAACTATGCAAAAGCCTTTCTTATATTTGTAGCTATTTATTTGTAGTTTTAACAACATTCTAAACTACAAAGTCAGTAGTACTATAGTACGTTACTTTAGGCTATAATAATCAAATTTACATCCTCACCTTGATTGTATATGTTTTGGTATATCTTTGTGTTCATTTTTTGTGTGTGGCATTTAGCAGCGTCCAGTAAACGTAAAATGCAGACTTCAAACATCCAAAGCCCCAAAAGCAGAGTTGCTAACAACCGACGTTCCAACCAACAAATCAGTAAGCGGAGAAGAGATATTCATTCACTGCCATCTAGATCAAGATTACAGTCGCCCAGATCAGGTACTTATGTTTAATACTTGAGATATTTATCCTTAGAATATTGAATTAGATAATAAACGCAAATGGTATCAGTGAACTAACACATGTTTTTTTTCTTGTTACCTTGATATTAAAATTTAAGACCCTACTAATTTTAATTGGTGTGCAATGCATCGAAAATGTATTGAAATTTTGATTCAATGCCTCCAATGGTGATTCAATTCAGTATGCATCTCGATTTAATCTTGATGCATCTATTTGGTCCCAGGGTGTCCACATTCTGGAAAGTCAGGGATAGTTATGGGATAAAATTCTGGTTATTGAAATCATAGAAATAGGCAAAAGGTCAAGAAAAGTCATGGAAATCCCCAATAATGGATGGATTTGAGGGGACCATTCAATTCTCTAGTCGGCCGTCGTAACCCCAACTATTGTAGTATTTTTCAGGATTTTTCAAAAATGTTGGACGATTTAAATTATTACAGTTCTATTAGGTAGTTTATTAGTTTTGAGTTAGTATTAGCATAGACAAAAAGAAATAAATATAGACTGTCAGCTGTGCTGCGGCTAGCGTATATTCCGGCGCCGACCGCTAGGGGTAATGTGTAGTTACGGCGCACACCGCTGCAGCATCAAGCGCTAGCGACCGTTTCCATAACAACTTGGTAGTTGGGAGTAGTGTTGCCAACTTTGGAGGAATTCCCCGGAATTGGAGTTTACTGACTTATTTAATATTAGCAATAAATTAATTAAAATGCCATCATTTATTGTATTTTTTTAAACATAGGCATATATTTGTTATACTTTTGTAGTTTCATTACAATGATTCAATTTATTAATCATAATTTTATTCCGAAACTATAATCTTAATTCATAACTTGATTAATCCATGATTTTAGGAAGTTGTTTATTGGAAGGTTTTGTTTTATATTTGCAAGGTAAAATCTACCAGGGTGTCTAGAGTAGTCGGGGAAAACGGGAAAGTCAGGTATTAGTATTGAATTTCAAAATGGTCTTGAAAAGTTGGGATTTAGTCTTATTTGATATCAAAGTCGGGAAATTTAATGATTTTACCACGATCGCGCTAGACAACGATCTCGTTTCCGTGACGGCGCAAGACGATGATGATGTCTACACGACCGCAGGCCGCGGGAGATGTTCTTAAACCGCAACCGTGCTAGACGACGTTTTCGTGACCGCGGGAAAAATGATCACGTTTTTTCTACGATCACGCAAAACGATAATATCTACACGGCCGCTGAAGATGTTCACGATTTTGCCGCAATCGTAGACGACGATGACGTTTCGGGACCACGGCATTCGATGATGATGTCTACACAGCCGCGGAGGATGTTCATGATTTTGACGCGATTGCAGAAGACGATAATAGCGATATAGTAAGCATTTCAAATTGCAAGAGTGGTAGTGCTGGTAACAGCTGGCGAGTAGTCGACGATGAAACCGAATAGAATACCGATAACCGATATTGAACGGCGATAACGCTCTAGCGGCAGATCGCAAAACCTTTCTTTGACAGTCTATATTTACTCTATTGCCTATGGTATTAGTTCATTGTTGTACCTATTGTACTCCATTGTTATCTGTTAATTGTTAATACATATTTCAGTATTTTCTGTGAAATAACTTGTCTAGGGAGTATTATTCGCGTGTGTATGTTAAATTATAATTTTCAAGTAAAGTTTGTGAGTCATGGAAATCATGGGTAAATGGTCATGGGTAGTTATGGAAAATCATGGAAATTAATGAAAAATTTTCTGTGGACACCCTGGGTCCCGATGCATCAGAAAAACCTTATTCAAATTGTTAGTGAAGTCTGGATTTTCTTAGGCCAACCATAAAATCAGCAGTGTCCATCAGCAGGAGGTTAGATCAGCAACTATCATCTTGTTAGGAACACATTTTATTTGGTACATTTTTTTCTTTAATCTTTTCTAATGTAAATAATCCATTTCAACGCAATTTCTAAATAATTTTTGCAATAATAATTGTGTAGATTTGAATCAAAATTCTTTGAATCACTTTTATGCATCGAATTGAATAAAGATGCTGCATCGCACACCCATCTTCAGCAGTCGTGTCAGGTTTCAGTACCGACAGCTACTCTTGATAATTGATTCTCGATACTGATACCAATGTCTGAGAATCTATTATATCGAGAATCAACACAGCCCTATTGTGAATCAAAATAATAAAAAAATGACCTGAATTTTAATATCCACATACCAAATTTCATTAAAATCGGATCACAGGTGTAGTCTGTAGCTCTGTACAATTATACACACACATAGACATATTCATTTTGAAAACAACTTTTTTCCATACAAGGGGAACTCAAGACAAGAAGAAATTTCTCTCAAGACTTCAATTTAAAATTGTTGACAAAACAGTGCTTTATCCATACACTATGTGTAGAGGGAGAAAATAAAATTTCAAATTTTATAAATACTATACTACCTAATACATAATGTTCATGCGATACTGGGTGAAAATGTTGATTAGTCATTACCATTTTCCCTTCTCTTATCCCTATGGTTTATATTCTATAAATTTTTCCAACAACAAATGACATATTTTGTACACTATCCATAGTAATAAAAAGTATTATAGTATTAAGTAAGTAAATACATTGATTAAATATATGTTATTTTTCAGTGAGAAACAACCAAAGGAATGAGCCAGCCTATCGGGAAGACAACTCACTGTATTCGAGATCTGGTATAGTACAATGTTTTCTCATATTTTGAATTTTAAAATGCTCTATAAAACAAATAAATAAGTACTAACTTTAGGAAAGGGATTGCAACATTTTTAAATGCAGTATAATGGATAAAAAATAAAACTTCACATTTTCGGTTGTGATCTTTATGTGTTTGTTTCAGAGAGATATTACCCACCAATATCCCCAGCCCGGCAATACCACGATCATTATTTAGCAGCTTTAGATGCATACTCGCCATATTATAGACCAGGTAAGTCTTAGAAAAGTTGGGATATTTTTTCAAAATGTAATTGTATCTTATTACATTTCACATACATATTTTTTAAACATTTTATAGTTTTTCATCCCACCAACTTTTGATTTTCTATAATAGGCTTATACAATTTTGATTGAATTAACAAATTCAGTATGGATTTTTCCTGCATCATGGCTATAATGTGTGTTTGGATGTTATTAGGGATGGACGGGATTGAATTTTTAGTTCGAGACGGGACGGGACGGGATTTTTTTCTGTGCATAAAAAGAAAGTATTGCAGTTACCAAAAAAAGGCATACGAAATCAATTTTCCCCATTTGTGGTACTGATCTATAAAAACCAAAAAATGGGTAACAATTTACAGGTACCTATAGTAACTTGTGACTCGCGGGTCACGGGGTGATCGTCTGTATGACTCACGGTCACGGCGCGATCGTCGTCATGACTCGCGATCACGGCGCAATCGTCGGTATGACTCGCGATCACAGCGCGATCGTCGGTATGACTCGCGGTCACGGCGCGATCGTCGGTATGACTCCGCGGTCACGGGGTTACCGTCGGTATGACTCGCGGTCACGGCATTATCGTCGGTATGACTCGCGATCACGGCTCGATCGTCAGCATGACTCCGCGGTCACAGCGCGATCGTCGTCATGACTCGCGGTCACGGCGCAATCGTCGGTATGACTGCGCGGTCACGGTGTTATCGTCGGTATGGCTCCGCGGTCACGGAATGATCGTCGATATGACGCGCGATCACGGCTCGATCGTCAGCATGACTCCGCGGTCACGGCGCGATCGTCGGTATGACTCCGCGGTCACGGGGTTATCGTCGGTATGACTCGCGGTCACGGCATTATCGTCGGTATGACTCGCGATCACGGCTCGATCGTCAGCATGACTCCGCGGTCACAGCGCGATCGTCGGTATGACTGCGCGGTCACGGTGTTATCGTCGGTATGACTCGCAGTCACGGCTCGATCGTCGGTATGACTCGCGGTCACGGCGCGATCGTCGGTATGACTCGCGGTCACGGCGCCATCGTCGGTAGGACTCCGCGGTCACGGCGCGATTGTCGGTATGACTTTTCTCCTGCATTCGCGGACCTTTCGCTCGCAATAACGGCGTTATAGGCACTCGCGAAGCGGAAAAATCGCCGACGATCGGACCAAATCCCGTCCCAAAAAATTCCCGAGTCAAATGTAATCCCGTCCCGATAATCAGGAATATTTTTTTCCCGAAAAATTCCCGAAATTTCGGGACCCGTCCATCCCTAGATGTTATTATCCGCTATGATTAATAGATAGCATTCTTTTACTGATATAGTTTTCTCGGTCTAAAGCAAAATTATATTTGTTTTAATTTTGCAGTAAGAGTCACTAAAAGCTCTAGAAGTTTTCCTCAGTGTAGGAATGTCCTTCATTACTTGATCTTACCATGTAATTCTCAAAATAATTGTCAAGTAGCCTACCTTGGTGCCTACAAGGTGCCTACCTTGTAGTTTTTCTTGAAATTCTTTTTTCGACTGTCAAATCTTCTCTCCTCCACCCATAGCCGGACATCTTTAACTTCTCTCCTCCTCCCATAGCCTGATATCTTAATCTTCTCTCCTCCACCCATAGCCTGATATCTTATTCTTCTCTCCTCCATCCATAGCCTGATATCTTAATCTTCTCTCCTCCACCCATTGCCTGACATCTTAATCTTCTCTTCTCCACCCATAGGCTGACATCTTAAACTTCTCTCCTCCACCCATAGCCTGATATCTTAATCTTCTCCCCTCTACCCATTGCCCGACATCTTAATCTTATCTTGTCCACCCATAGCCCTACATCTTAATCTTCTTTTTGTTGACTCACTTGTCACTTCTATAGTTGAGTGTATCTTAACTTGGGGTTTTTCCATTCCGCTGCATTTGGTAAAAATATGGAATGGTCTATACATGTTTCTAAGCACTTTATTTTGAAATAGCTTATATATTTGCTATTTAATCTGCTACTTATGCTTTTCTATATTTGAGGTGAGTTATTTTATTAATATTTTAGTTGTGCCATGTTTATTTAACCCTTTTTATGTTTCTCCCTCAGAAGATTCTTATGGGGGAAGTTCAAATTCTCGTCTCCCTAGAGCAGGTATGTTAATGTTGCGAATATTTTAAAGCTTTAAAATATAGATAAGTCCCTACATGTTCTAAGCACCCTATTTTGAAACAATTTACATACTTATTAATGCTAATTAATCTCCTATTTATTTAGGCTTATCTGCATTTGAGATAATTTATTTTATACCTATTTTATTTATGCCTTGTTTTTTTAACACTTTTTGTGTTTCTCTCACAGAAGATTCTTATGCGGGAAGTACAAATTCTCGGCCCCATAGAGCAGGTATGTTAATGTTGCAAATATTTTGTTTTAAAATATATTGGTCCATACGTATATCATATCTTAGCACTATATTTTAAAACATTTGATATATTTGCTATTTTATCTGCTATTTAGGTAAATTATTTTATATCTATTTTTATTGTGCCATGTTTTTTAACTCTTTATGTGTTTCTCCCACAGAAGATTACTACGCGGGAAGTTCAAATTCTCGTCCCCAAAGAGCAGGTAGGCCTAAGTTAATGTTGTGAATATTTTCTTCAAAAATATAGATTGGTCCATACATATATCCAGCACTCTATTTTAAAACATTTGATATATTTGCTATTTTATCTGCTATTTAGGCTTATCTGCAATTTAGGTAAATTATGTTATAACTATTTTTGTTGTGCAGTGTTTTTTTAACTCTTTATGTGTTTCTCCCATAGAAGATTACTATGCGGGAAGTTCAAGTTCTCAGCTCCACCGAGCAGGTATGTGAATGTTACAGATATTTTATGATTTAAAAATTTGGATTTGTCCATACATGTTTCTAACCACTCTATTTTGAAACAACAGTTTTATTCATTAACTAGCTGTTACCCGCGGGCTTCGCCCAGTTTGACTTCTTATTTCGTAGGTATTAATAAGTTAATAAGTTAATAAGTAAATTTCATGCCAACTTGTTTAATTGAAACAGATGTTAAGAACCATTAATTCCTTTTACATATAAAACATCATAAGGTTGACATGGGAAACCCCAGAGCCACTGGGGCGGAGCCCGAAAGTCAGATCAGAGTAAAAACTACTTGGTTTTCCTATTTAATGCCTAAAGAATTAGTGTTCCAAATTTCAGTCTTCTAGATAAATGTGAAGTAGGAGAATTAGTTACAAGTGAGTCAGTCAGTGAGGGCTTTGCATTTTATAGGTATAAATGCTAATTACTCTTCTAACTAGGCGTATCTGCATTTGAGATAGAACCCCTCATTTACTACCATGACGGGACTGGGCCATGCTCAGAACGGATGGTAGGTTGGATATCGGGAGGAGCATATCTTGGGGTCTCCGTAACACCTGTGTGATCGGCCTTTCAATGAACTGAACGCAATTGGAATTTTTGCCCTAGACAAATAATAAGTAGACGGTTGAACACTAGGTCGGAAATCCTGAGGAGTCGGTTATGCCGAGGTCAGATAAGGGGTTCAACTATATTTAATAACTATTGTAGTTGTGCCATGTTTTTACATCACAAACATCTAACAATAACAATTGTATTTCTCCAACAGATGATTATTATGCGGGAAGTTCAAATTCTCAGCCCCGCAGAGCAGGTATGTGAATGTTACAATTTTATAGTTTTTGTAATTCTTTAGTATTTATTGTAGTATTCGTGCAAGCGTTATTGAGCGTTTTAATACTTTAACACTTGAGGGTTTTCTAACTCTTGTTTCTGTTGGTTATGTCGTAATATATCAATTGGAATCTGTATTATTAAAAGAATTTGTTGGATTTTTGTGTGCAGTAAATCGACCCCTAAATATTTATTTTTTATAGGCATATTGGGTATTAATTTAAATCTCTTATCCTCTATATGTGCCTTTTGCGGGTTTGGATGATATCTCGTAAAAGCCCTTTGTCCTACAGGCATTTAAAATTTCAGAGTTTGTGATAAATTCTGTTGTCAATCATCTGAACTGTTTCAAATTTACATTTGTTTACATCAAAACAGATGGCCATAATACAATTTTGTTTCCATCCATAAGAAAATGGGGTTATCTGTAGTACTAGCGGCTAGTCCCTGCCCACGAAATCTGTTGGGGAGCGAAACTTCTACCCTCCCTCCAGCAAAGCTGTTATTTGGAGGCTTCTGATTGGCTGAGGGAATACCATTACCGCAACGATACGGAATGATGCCATCGGCCTCGGTGGTATAGTGGATAGAGTGCCGGGCTGATGAACTGAAAGAGTCGGGTTCGATTTTTTTTTCGATTAATAAACCTATATTGGATTTTTTCATTATCAGCGCGTTTGGTTGGTTTGGTTAGGTTATGACAGTTTAATTTCATAATAAAAAATTATAAAATTGAATTTGAGGCATTTATAATTTTATTTTATGAACAAAACTAATTTTTCAATTTGTTAACCTTCATTATAATCAATCAGAAGCCTCCAAATGACACTGTTGGCAAAACTAATCCTGGAATAAAAGTTCAGCTGGAGGGAGGGTAGAAGTTTAACTCCCGAACAGATTTGGTGGGCAGGGACTAGCCGCTAGTATCTGTAGTTGGTGATGTTTCAGTGAATTCAAGTGAAATACTGTTTGTATAAAAAAGTGAAATGATATTTGTATAAAATTTAAAATGACTTAAAAAAAATTACTTACGTTGGATTTTGTGTTTTCATAGTCTGTTTCATGTTGTGTTTTAGTTGTTTTAGGGAATTTAAGTAAAATATTGTAATGCTATTTGTTTAAAATGTATAGAAGAGATTTTGTGGTTTCATTGTGTGTTACATTAGCATTTGTAATTTGTAATACTACTAAGTTGCCTCAAAGAGATAGAATGAAATAATTAAATTTTTCATTAATAACCAAATGATTATTTGTCAATTCATTCAAAACAGAAAATATTTTGCTAACACATTCATATTAATGTAATAGTCATAAATTTTCAAATTACAGGTTTTACTCTTTGCTAACCTTGCATCACAATCCGTACAAACCCATCGGTTTTTATCACCAAGATCCTGGACAGCACGAAAATCGCTTTTTCATAGCCCTGCACAAATTACTTGAAATACTATTTCACATAATCCTTCACACTTAATACCGGGCTTAACTTTATTCACAGCTTTAGAACACGCACAATATGGATGACAAACTGATCTATCAGCCATCTTGATGACATCTCCTTTAAGGTCAAATTTAAATGTCATATATTATTCTGTGACTAATTTTATGATTGCATACACATCATTCTTGTAAACTGTAACTATCATATTTACAACAATTCTAGCTAACCGTTAACCGAATTAACAATAGGATATGATTAGATTGTAAGACAACTATGTTTAACCAATGTTTTGCCTTTTGTCAACAGATGACTACTCGTATTACGGAGAGTCTTCTTATTCACAGACACAAAATTATGGAGCAGGTAAATGATAATAATTTTTAAATTTATAGTAAGCTACCACTACTAAGTTGATTTTAAGCTTTCAAAATACTTTTTATTGTTTAAAAAATCAATGGTGTGTAAAGTTCCTCTGACTTCATGACAGCAGTTAATAGGGATGGACGGGTCCCGAAATTTCGGGAATTTTTCGGGAAAAAAATATTCCCGATTATCGGGACGGGATTACATTTTAATCGGGAATTTTTCGGGACGGGATTTGGTCCGATCGCCGGCGATTTTGCCGCTTCGCGAGTGCCGATGACGCCGCTATTGCGAGCGCAGGAGACGAAGTCATTTCGACGATCGCGCCGTGACCGCGGAGTCCTACCGACGATCGCGCTGTGACCGCGGAGACATGCCGACGATCATGCCGTGACCGCGAGTCATACCGGCGATCACCCCGTGACAGCGGAGTCATACCGACGATCGCGCCGTGACCGTGGAGTCCTACCAACGATCATGCTGTGACCACGAGTCATACCGGCGATCACCCCGTGACCGCGGAGTAATACCAACGATCACGACGTGACCGTGGAGTCCTACCGACGATCGCGCCGTGACCGTGGAGTCCTAGACGATCATGCCGTGACCGCGAGTCATACCGGCGATCGCGCCGTGACCGTGGAGTCCTAGACGATCATGCCGTGACCGCGAGTCATACCGGCGATCACCCCGTGACCGCGGAGTCATACCGGCGATCACGACGTGACCGTGGAGTCCTACCGACGATCGCGCCGTGACCGCGAGTCATACCGACGATCGCGCCGTGACCGTGGAGTCCTACCAACGATCGCACCGTGACCGCGAGTCATACCAACGATCGCGCCATGACCGCGGAGTCCTAGCGACGATCGCGTCGTGACCGTGGAGTCCTACCGACGATCATGCCGTGACCGCGATTCATACCGGCGATAGCTCCGTGACCGCGGAGTCATACCGACGATCACGACGTGACCGTGGAGTCCCACCGACGATTGCGCCGTGACCATGAGTCATACTGACGATTATGCCGTGACCGTGAGTCATACCGACGATCAACCCGTGACCGCGAGTCATACTGACGATCACCCCGTGACCGCGGTCATTTTGACGTTCGCACCGTGACCGTGACCGTGAGTCAAAAGTTTCTATAGGTACCTGTATATTATTACCCATATTTTTGGTTTTTATAGATCAGTACCACAAACGGTAAAAATTGATTTTGTATGTCTTTTTTTGGTAACTGCGGTATGACTTCTTTTTATGCACAGAAACAATCCCGTCCCGTCCCGTCCCGAAAATCGGGAAGGAAATAAAAATCCCGTCCCGTCCCGTCCCGAACTAAAAATTCAATCCCGTCCATCCCTAGCAGTTAACCTTGGTGCTGATGGGGTGAGCTTGGTGAACATATTATCATTGACTATTTATTATGAAGTAACTGTTAATAACATCTTTCACATTCTTAGTATGTTACCTGCAACCGTTTTTTAAACTAGCCGTTTCGGTTCAGATCATAGAATTGTAAAGATTCACTTAACAGACTTGTTAACTTACTTAACAGCATTGTTGTTTTACTTTAGAACACGAGTACCGGACCAATGATTGAGAGAAAAGAAGTAAAATTGTAATACTGTACTTCGAACGTAAACTTATCAGACCAATTTAATTAATTAAACAATGAGTGAGTGGTTGGAACATTAAGTTGTTGAATCACAATCAGTAGATATGAGAGGTTGTAAACGAAAACATACCCTCTCTTGAAAGTTATGCGGAGAAATTTTTAGTAATTGTGGGCATCGTAGTATACAGAAAAAATAATAATCTGACCGTAGTCTCTGACAAATCCATACAAGTCATTTTACCTTGCTAAAGGATATTGGATCAGCTATAACAAGTCACTACAAGATTTGTTCCTCCATCTTTTCGTAATACAATCTCACAGTAGTTTGTAAATTTTCATTTGATAATCAAATAAAGAAAACAAAGTGCTTGTTATTCTATTAATCTTATTTATGTTTTCAGACAATTATAAAGATGCATCTTGGTCATCCCAGCAAAATAGTAGAACAGACAGAGGTATATTTTTGCTTAATTTATATTAGAAATTTAATTGTAACTGATATAAACGGTTAAATGATTTGATAACTAACATTGGGGAAACTAAAATAGTTATACTAGCCTACCTATCGAGCTTTTTAGGGACTTATGTCCCTACAAGCCACTAGTACATAATATTTCACTAACATCATTTAACCTTAGTTGGTAAAATAGTCTTTCAGTATTAGTGAAATATTCTAATATCTGTATACAATGTAAAGTAATGTGTTTCTTATGAAAGGGTGGGCTCCTAACAGTCAGGTTGGTCACAGAAATCTTATATTTAGCATTTATAGTCTAGGTGTATAAAACTTCATAATCCTTTTATTTTTCCTCAGTTAGCCGCAAGCGAGACTGGGACCAGATGGACCTCAGCCAAGATGTGAGGTTCAATCAGCCAAAAACATCAGGTACTGCACTGTTGAAAATTGTTTTAGCCAAAACAACTCATTAGTTTAACAATAACAAATTGTAGGTCTGCAAACTATTTTGTACTTTCTTCCTATAAAGGAGTTTTTAACATGAACTCGTCAGCAATGCCCAATTAAGGATATTGAAAATATTTTTTGTTAAGGATTCATTTTGAAAAATATCCTGACCTAAATTTAAAATTCCAATGTTGCCACTCACCACTCAATCATATCCCAACTGTGGTGTCTCCCTCGTAAAGTCAATAGCTACAAAAATTGTACAAATTATATAGAATACAGTATCTATATAATAAATTATATAGAATACAGTAGAATAGTTGGTTGGTTTACAGTACTTTAAAAAATATCGTATCTTTGGCTGTCTTTCTGAAACTATATCCATAAGTAATCCTGGAACTCCCCCTGGAAGGTAAAGCTAAAGCTATAAGTACAAACTAATTTATGCATTTTAATACTTCTGTTTACAATGATAACTAACTGATTTGTCTAGCCTAATAGTAACAATGTGCCATTTCAGTCCTGAAGGCCAAGTTCAAGACTAGCAATTGTGACAAAATTAATCACTTAATCAAATAATTTACCTAGTACTTTCTGTACTTACCTAGTATTTTTCTTTACTGAATTCCATTTAACTCAAACACATCTTTTTTAATTGCAGGTGATTATCTAATTTCAAGTTTGACAACAATTCAAGACCCGTATGTTGAGGAAGGTGTGTACTGTGTTTCATGGGCAATTTAGTAGTTGTAAAGCATGCATCCTAATCAGGTGTTGGCTGGTTTGGTCCGAAGTCTTATGCTATAAAAAACATTGTGGTTCATGTTATGTTTACACGATGCCAGTTGGTGAGACAGTTGTCTTTGCCAATTGTCATTCCGTGATCGCGGGATTGTCGAAGGCCATTTGTCCTGCTCATTGTCCTCAGTCTACTCCCAGAGACAACTGAATTTCAGGGCAGTTGGCAAGTCAATTGGATTGAAATGTTTACAAGAAGCCAATGATTTCATGACAGTCAAATGTCTTCTGTCAATTGTCCCACCAGCCGGCATAGTGTAAACCAGCTACCAAACCAGCAGTTATGGTTTGACACTATACCCAGTTGTGTTTGTTCTTTGGAGTATCAACAACGGTCCAGGCTAAAGAATCATTTGACCAGTGGCAAAACCACATAAATCATGAAAATAGAAATTTAATGATAATATACAAATTTTTACAATAATTTTATAAGTAAAATATTGACAAAAGGTTGTCTGCGGGTGAGGATCCAATGATGCTGGTGACATTTCCTTTTTGTATGGCCATGGCAATTTGTTGAACTTAAATCATATTCCCATTGCCTATTCAACACTCATACTTTATGTTTATTTATAATCAGATTAAAATACTGCTTGATTTTATTTCCATCTCAGAGTTAATTAATTGTGTGTGTTTATTGTTTATTCAAAATAATTCTACCAGTATAAAAGCCTTTCCGAACACGAGATCAATTTAAAATATAGGAAATCTCTGTCCTCACAAAATGGCTTTTGGAAAATTGAACAGATGTAAATATGGTTATTGTGTTAGATGGACAATAATTCTGCCTGTTAAGTGGAAATTTGCACTTATTGGATTGAATGTAATGAATACAGTCTAAACAAATTAATATTTAAGAGTTAACTAGGATCAAAATGAATTAACCTGTTTTTCCACCCAGCAAGAGTTTTAAAATGATCGTGTGCATCCTTATGAGGATTTTTGGTGAAATGCATGAGTATGAATATTTTATTAACTCAAAATCGTGGAAATAAAATTGAAATATAGTTTATGTGTGACTAATTTTGAACCAAAGCTTCCAACCGTCTGATCTGGATTTCCTTTTCTATTACCGTAACTGAATGTTTTCAATAATTCCTATTCCTATGAATGTAAAGAGCCTGGGTTATGAAAACTATTGTATTTGATAACTCCTAGTTTCTAATTGAAAACTATTAAATACTTCAATTGAATACTTCAGCCAGGAGCAAGTTTTATTTGAATTTGGTTTTCACTTTTCACACTTTTTTTGGGACTTAACCACTTTTCACAATTTCAGCACTGTATAATTCACTTTTCTTGTAATCCTTACAATTACTTATAAATCATTCAAATTTGTTAAGTAAAAAAATATGCCCTTTAGCACTTTTAGCGAGCCAAAACTTTTTCAACCCTGCAGTGCCTGAAATGATTTTTGGTCAAATTAATCATTTGCTAATTTCAGTTAACTTAGGCCCGGTTCACACGAACGACAAACCTAGCAGACTAGGCTTGGACTAGGTAAGCACGACTGGGTAGCGGACCACAGGATCAAATGGAGCCGTTCACACGAGCCTAGGACGCCGACTAGCTAGTCGTGTTCAAGCTTGATGTCCCAAAACCTAGACGGGCCCTGCTTCCCAGTCCGTCTTGGCAACTACCCAGTCGAACTTCGTAGCAGTACATGTAGCCTTATGTGGGCGTTCACACGAGCGATCGGGTAGTCGAGCTGCAGCTCACATTCTTGCCTTTGTTCTCATTGTACACCAGTGATGGAACCGAGTGGTTTTGATATCGATATTTTCACCTAGTCCGTGGACATGTCGCTCGTGTGAACCGGTGTGATCCTGTGGTCCGCTACCCAGTCGTGCTTACCTAGTCCAAGCCTAGTCTGCTAGGTATGTCGTTCGTGAGAACCAGGCCTTACAGATGTGCTTGGTCTTAAAGTTTGTTGTGATGTATGTTGTTAGGTTAGATATTTGACTTGGAGTTGTATTGTTTTTAGAGATACACGCTCCAGAGACAAAGCGGCCGAGGGAGTCTAAAGCGAATGTCACAACACCTCGCTGGGACGACATCGGACCACTGTTGATAGTTTGGCCTGTCACAGTGCGCAGCGAACTTGAGAAAGATCCCAGGAAGATTCTTGAAGCAAACTTCCCCACGGATATAGAACTGTGAGTCAACACCTTATTTACTTTTTATTGATTTTACATTTTTTTTTAATGATAAAGTAGTTATTACAATAGTTTATGATAATTTAGATTTTTGGTATAATGATTTAAATGGGTGTGATCAGGCTATTTAAGCTAGAGAAATTAGTTTAGACAATTTGAAACACAGAGGAACACCAAGTTTGTTTTTATTAAGTTTTTAAAAGAGGAATAACATGGTGTGTGAATAGCTAAAGTTGATCTCAATCTATCGACAATGGTGAAATTTTACATGGTCAGAACCTGTCTGTCTAAATCCAACTGAAATCTAAATGGTATTGGTTTTAAATTAAAGTCTCATCGTCATGCTTAAATTTAAAATTCACATAGATTTTTATCTTGTAACCAGTTTACCACCACTTAGACGACGGTTAGATTACAGACGGACATGAAAACAAAACCATATAAAGACAAAAATATAGAGTCCCAGGATTCCATGAAACCATATTATTCATTTTGGTGGGCTTGGGCCAATAAGTACTATGAGACTTTGCCTTTGTCCAACCAAGAATTCTATTGCAGTCCATATTACTTTGCCAAAATTTAATGGATTTGTTATTTTATTATTGAATCAATTAAGTTTAATCTCAGTCATGGGACAGCTCCCAAACAGCAGATTAACTTTGACTTATGATATTTCTATTTGAAAACTGCTAAAACTGTTTCATCACTTAGTGCAGTGGTCATAGAGTAACTTCAAACATCAGCAAAACTATTGACGTTGCTTCAACAGTTGGTTGTGCTTATTTTTGGCCCATTCTTCCAGAAACAAATCGGAACACAAAAAAGGTCTTGGAAAGAAATAGACTGTCAAACAATAATAATATTATCCCGATTCTTAGGTGTAGCAAAGAGTGCAGAGCAGTTAAAAACATCCAACTAGCATTAACACTTAACACAGATAGTTTTGATGGGTGGGCGTACACAAGCTGGACAAGATGTGCATCAAATAGAAAATGGTGAATGAATAAACAATGAGGATTCACTAGAATCTCTATGCATTAGTCCCACCAAAACAATAATCATCAGTATAGCTGCCTCATAATCGTCCTGTTCTTATTTTGAACAAGCAACAACAATCCATCTTAAGTGATGTTAGCAATATAGCAGTCCTCACCAGCATTGATAGCGGTGAATTGTGACATTTTTGCTGCAATTGTCTGCAGTATTACCGAGCTGGAGAGGTCAGGCTGCTGCCCTATGTTCCTTGGAGGAATAGCAGGACATGAGTCAAGTGAATGATGTTTTTTGTCCACTGTCTAATAGACTTCAATATTCTATTGATTTCTATTGGTTAGTGATACTGATAATGTCATTGAATCAACCTGAGCTCAAAGGTATCTAGTCTAAAATTAAAGAAAGGGATCCAGATATTTCAACATTAAATTAATCCTCTAAAATACAAGTTTTTAAATTACTCAGTACTATACATTCATTAGATGACAGTCTTGTTTTATTTTATTAAGGCCACTGGCTAAAGAACAATGCTGTAGTCTAGTGGTTTGGAGCTCATCAATTTTCCACGCGTCTCTAATATCAGGGGTTTCTTCACTAAACGATCAACATTGCAGTCTTTTCATAGCTCATAGCTGGCTCTGTCGGCTGCTTGGCTACATAACTATTCTGCACCACATTTTTTGGTGCACCGTAAACTCCTGTACACACATACCAGGGGTTTCTTCACTAAACGATCCACATTGCAGTCTTTTCATAGCTCATAGCTGGCTCTGTCGGCTGCTTGGCTACATAACTATTCTGCACCACACTTGTTGGTGCACCGTAAACTCCTGTACACACATGCCAGGGGTTTCTTCACTAAACGATCCACATTGCAGTCTTTTCATAGCACATAGCTGGCTCTGTCGGCTGCTTGGCTACATAACTATTCTGCACCACATTTTTTGGTGCACCGTAAACTCCTGTACACACATACCAGGGGTTTCTTCACTAAACGATCCACATTGCAGTCTTTTCATAGCTCATAGCTGGCTCTGTCGGCTGCTTGGCTACATAACTATTCTGCACCACATTTTTTTTTTGGTGCACCGTAACTCCTGTACACAATCCGTATAGTGTTTTTACAGGAATCTATATCAAGTATAAAGGGTCAAATTGTTGAAAATCGATGTTCCTTGATACCACCACTGGTATTGAGGTATCGAGGAGTAGAATTGGCCCATCCGGAGATAATAGTTACCTCTTATGTGCTTAACACTCTTTCTCTGTCATTAATAAGTTTTTCAGGGAACCGCTAACTACGTGGCTAATGATAAAAATTCCAGAATGAAATCTTTTCACAACTTAACTAAGAGTTGGGTTATGTGAACTGCTTTCTTACATTTGAGTCTGTCAAAAATTGATGTGACTTGTTTGAGAAAAATTACCTACCATGAATTCGCTCAAAAACATTTGGGCCTCAACATCTAAACATCAGGGTCATTATTTGATGGTTATGTAAACAAATATTTTCTTAGATAAAAAATATTTCCAACATGGCCATAAGCTTTATGTGACATCAATATCACATTTTACCTTACATAGTTAACTCATGTAATATTTGATTCCAGGGAACAAAGCAATAAGGTAGCTGTACACATTACGTTGCCTCTACGCAACGGAAGGGACAAGCAGTACTGTTTGTGTGTTGGAAATGGTGTTTACAATGCGGCGAAAACTGCTCTTGACATGCTTGTAAAGAGGAGTTCTATCATCAAGGTATAGCAGTTCCACAGGTTTTCCTTGGTAACCTGTCAAATGACGAAGGTTAACCGGGCAATCCTTAAAGGTTTACATCCGTGTTTTCGATTGTAATCCTTTAAACTCCTTATCTTCCATTTCTAATTGGTTAAGAAAATTTTTCACCAAAAGTACAATGTGGTCTTACAAAGTTGTAGGGGTCTGCAGGCCAGACTTTTTTGCTTTGGGTAAGGTAAAAGATTTTGGCCTTTGAGCCTCAGGCAAAAATTGGGTCAGACCAGAATTGGGTCAGACCAGAATTGGAGTAGTTTGGAAAATACAGTATTGATAAAAAAAACTAATTGTAACAATTAGTTAATACAATATTGTACACTATCTCCCGCAGTCGAGGTCATTGCAAAATCGCGAATGTCTTCCCTGGACAGGGAGACATTTGTATAGTCTACCGAGATTGCATTAAAACCATGAACACCTCCTACAGTCTCGGAGAAAACGTACTGTAAACATTTTCCAAGGTTACCATGAAATCCTGAAATCTACCCCAGTCACAGAATAAAAAATTGGCAATCATCTTCCGTGGTCACAGCGAAATCATTCACATCTTCTTTGGTTACGAAGAGAAGACATCATCATTGTTTACCGTCATTGCAGACAATCACCTGCAGTTGCGGTGAAATCGTCATTTTTCATACCTTTGAAGACACTTTCTGCGACTGCAAAATAAAGCTTGCACACCTCTAACATAAATGACTTGACCAACCGTTGGCACAACCTGACCCAAAAGTATCGATGATCCACAGACCCCTACTATGTTGGTATCACATTTCGCAAGCAACTTAATGTTCCTGCAAAGACTTCAGGGACTTGAAAAGTTGATTTGCTAGTTCCTTTATAGAACCTGTGAATTTCTTCTTTTATTGAATCCTTAGGTTTTGAAACCTATAAGGATTCATGCAAGTTGTGATACGTTTGATGCTAAGAAACTTGAGTTCTAGAGCTCATACACTATTTTACACGTTTAATAAAATATTTTTTGCGGTGATTAAACATTGCTGCCCTTTTATTAGTTTTCTCTTATGTTCATGTGTACTCAATGTTATACTCTTTATGTACTTGGACAATACTGATGTTAACCTCAAGTAGATAAAGGGGTTTTCATTCGGTTACTATATACTACACAATATAAAGCCAAAGTCAGTTCTTGCTTTGGGGAGCGAGCTGGTTCAGTGGTTGAGTCTGAGCCTTTGGTCCCCAAAGTCCCGGCTTCAAATCCCGTCAATCACCAATGGATTTTATTTAAGTGATAATGCCGCGACCCTCTAGGCCTAGCCTGAAGTAATGTGTAAAACAGATTCAGGCTAGAGCCTAGTGTTCTAGTATATGAAGGTAGGACATCTGCAACCAAACTTATAATAGAATGTGGTCGGTTTAGCGTCTAGTGGGATGTCAGTTTTTGGTGAATAAGTTTCAAATACTGTGAATTTCCTTGTTATGCGATAATGCTGAGATCAGTAGAAGTTCCATGTATGATTGGTGTCCAGAAAGTAACAGCAATTTTTGCCCAGCACTGGATTATTAACATCTCTGCATCCAAGCGTATGTATCCAGCTGTTGTGATATCCACAATGCTTCTTTTCCTTTGTCACCATTGGGGAATTGAAAACACTGGAATATAAGAGCCATTGGTCAACTCCGCCATTGTATTGAGTGGCGGAATTAGCTAACTCAGGAACTGGTCAACACTGATAATAATTTTATTGGTGGTTCGGGAATTTCGGCCAGAGACCAAGCTGCCCTGTTTTTTTCCAAGAAGGAACTTGCTTGTTAATTGCTTATTATTGCTACTAATACTGCTCAGCTAATTCTGGAGTCAGCAAATTCCTAGAGAGAAAAGTTTTTGGGTTCCTACAAAACTACTTTTTTTTTAAGCGCATTTTACATTGGAACTTAAATAATTTATGGTCTTATGGCTTAATCAGCAAGAACAATCAACAAAACCAGTGATAACGAAGCTCTGAACGTTTTCCATGATTTTTACTGAATTTTTAGAAACTTACGGAATGACAGCAGTTAGAATTTCAGGAAGCTGTTTCCTACCTGTACCTTTTAAAAGAGGAGTACAGGCCATCAAACATTTAGTGTTATGAAATGATGAATTACCCAATCTGAATGTCAATCAGGTATGTCTTTGTTTTGTCATGACTCATGAATATCAATGTAGGGCTGTTTTAAAGTGTTTTATCTCCAGTCTTTTACATCAAAGTCGGTTGTTATCCTGTTCCATTCTTTCAAATGTCTTATGTTTCAACATTTGAGCTGTCTTTCAAAATGTGTATGGTAAAAATTGTTTTTTATTCATTTTTTTAAGCCTGTTACTTTCTGGAAAGCTATGAATTCTGTGCTAGTACCCTCTGAAAAGAAGGAGGAGAAAAAACCTTTGTGGAAGAGCAGAGGTTAGATTTGACTTAGTATTTGAGGACCAGTGGGTTAGTAATACAACTATCTCGCGGAGGAATGTGGTGACGGATTAGACCCATAAGTTGTCGTCAATGAATCTAAATGAATGGGTGATTGTAGTCAGGCTAACATGTTCATTTTATGTGAGTTTTTTTTAACACTCAAGCTCTAGGCCTATTTATTGCATTGTAATGACTTGATTGATTTTTTAGCACACTGTTGGTTTTCTGCCTCCTGACGGACAAGTGCCAAATTTCATTCGGTACAACATCCCTTGCCAAACCAATCCTCGGACTTACATGTGAGTAAAACAAATATTCTTGATTAAAAACATTTTTAACATTAAAAGCCTCAAGGTTTGATATAGCCTATTAAACATTGTAATGTAACAAAACCTTCAATTGTAACAATTGTCCAAGGATCAGCTTAATTCTATGTTATAACCCTAGGTGACAATCTTACAACTACTAATTGAAGATAGAACAGTGGATCAATGTCTGTGGATGAAGACTATTAAAAATATACTAAAAAGGAAAGATATTTTATCTTAAGCACATTGGTCCTCTGTTCCAATATTTTCTCGCATATATGACTAAAATAATCAGATTTTATAAAAAAACTAGTTTTCAGTGCACACACATACATTATGTATGATTAAAAAAACCCAAACTGCTTGATAAGAAATGAAACTCACAACAAATGAACCAATTCTGTTAACTTACATTGCAGAATGCAGATGTAAACAAAATTGCTATTGGTCAATGCATCGACAGAAATAAATGATTACAGCTATTTGTAACCTTTTTTGATATGACCATCATCATCTCCTACCTAATCTTTTCCTAGACTCAAAATTATTTATTAATTACGAAAACTGTTAATAAACACCATTGACTTTCATGGGTTTTACACGGCATCAATCTATTTATTTTTTGTATCACTCGTCTTGTGAGATTCAAAGTGTTCAAAGTAAATGAATTCAAATAGCCTAATAGTCGACAACAATAAAACAGTTCACTGCAATCGGCAAAAACAATACCTACTCTCGAGTCTTGATAATCAAATTTTGCCTACTACAGTATCAAAGTTTACAAGTTAAAAAATATGTACAGTATGTCATCGAGTATAGCTGATTCTTTTTTTCCTTAAGGAGAAATTATTCATGATTCTTTACTCCCTGCAACGCATGTATTGAAAACAACTGTTTTTGCTGTAGCCTATTATGACAAAAATAGTTTTTTTTACACATTTCTTATGCCCTCTACTTAAAGTTTTATTCCATTGTTTTCTTGTACCAGAATTCTCAGCTATATGGACACTGGACCACTGACACTGGATAAGATTGATGAACTACTTACATCCTTCAGATCCAGCCTAAATGAGGATTTGTTCTTCGACAAGAATATCTACACACATGACATGAAACTGGCATTGTTGGAGTAAGTATAACAAACGTACATACAGTACGTCAATGATCCGACTATCCAAAACAATTGGAGGTTTGCGGTGTTTGCATAACTAATTATTCATGTTATGGGTCAATGGGTCATTCACAGGAATAAATAGGTACTATAATATGAATTGATAGCATTTACCTATTTTTACATGTATTTGTTCACTGGTTTTGATTGTCTCCTGTGATTGTCGCAACATCAGTGAGCATATCTTATCTTGTGGTCCTGGCGACATTACTTCTTCCAAAATAAGGAACACATTTTAAGGAACGGCAATGAGTCACATGTTACTTGTCAGGATATCTTTGTTTCTTCATTTTGGATAAGCGACCGGAGCACTGGTCTTTGGATAATTGACGCTCTACTGGTGGCTCTAGTGGTAGTTTGAGTCATGTTACCAGACCAACATTAATGGTTTAATAATTGACTCACAATTTGATATTTCGAAGCAAGTAGACAAAGTCTCCAGCAAAATAATCAGTGGTACGACTATTTCCAACAAGACTGCACGGTGAATGTGGAATTGAGTCGAGCTATTGAATTAAGAGCCATAGCCCAATGCTACACAAGGCATTTCACTTCATTCTTCACTCATCCTTTGTTCATATTTTGTGTCAGTATCATGCCCATCTTAATAATTTAACACTGACTACAAACAAGTATGTGTTGTACACTCTTGGGAGGCAAAGTTTTTCGTGTGAGTTGTGGACCTCTCAGGTTATGGTAAGATCTGCAGATTAACATTTTGTGATTGTGTTTGACAGTCGAGCGCCCAAGTTCGGTCTGAAGGTGCGCCACTTTGGCACTGACAGTAAGCTGCAGGACAGATACGTGTGTGTGTACAAGACCAAGCCCAAAGAAGAGGTACTTGAAGAAGTACTGAAGATGAGGGACTTTCACCCCAAGTACAAACTGACTGCTGACAAACTTCCTCCTAGGCTGGGCCTCAACATATTCTAGGTATGTTTGTGACCTTGAAAAAATACTTTAGGATACTAAAGTAAATTTCCCGTCTATATGGATCAGCTGAAGTAATTGTTTTATCTAAACATATCATAGTAAAACGGTATTTAAAAAATAATAGCAGACATTTCCCATTACCATTAAAAAGAAAAACTTTTTTAATCCTTTGAGATCTGAAATCTGATCCTGTCCTCAGGTGAAAAAGTACCTCAAACATAACAAGAAGAATTTCAAAACCACACACAGCAATATGTTGTGTATTAGTTAAAGAAAACCACAAAATCCCTTTAAAACTTAATTATTTCTGGTCACACCAACTAACAAATTCTCTGTATTTTGTTTCAGGTACCGTATACTGCTAGAATTTCACAATGTTTGAATACCTTACTTTTGAAAAATGTGTATGCATTTCTTTTATGATTATGAACTACAATTTTATTTGACATTATAACTTTCTAGAGAAAAGTTTTTTAAAACATTGTTTATTTCCTCCCATTTTGACCTTACAATAGTTTTGATAGTATCTTAAAAACATCTGGAAATATGGTAGTTATCTAAGCTTATATTCAGTGAAACATCCTTAAACAGATTTACCAATAAAAACATTATTGATTTATTAATATTCATACACATTTTTGTCTGTGCTGGTAGTGTTTTAAAATCCAAGATCCACAAATATTTCCCTGGAAAAATCACCCGTTTTACAATTGTCAGTGTTAACTTTAAAACCAATGTCAAAGATTATCTCGGCACAATTCCTCTTCTTCCCTGTCAGTTGTATCCTTCATGATAACACAGGAGATAATGTCTTGTCCAACTTTCAAACTATATTACCTTGTAATTTTTCCAAAGGCAACTGAATGCCAATTTAAAATTAATAATATTACAGTATCAACAATATATATTGTTTTGTTAAACATCCTGCATCACTATATTTCATTGGCTCCACATTATTATTTTAGGGTATACACATTTTAATTGGATATAATATTGTCTAAAAACAGTTAGATAAAGCAGGAAATTGTATGTACAATTATCACTTAATGACTTAGTATAAAACATTATAACCTCATGGAAAAGAACTTTTGACATCTGTCTCTTACATACGTATTGCAAATCCGATATTGCCAAATAGTGTTATTTTCAGTTCGGATCTGTTTACTCAAACGACATCAAATACTTTGTTTTATGAATAACTCAACGATATTGTATTTCTTGTTTATTTGATGTCGACATCGAAAGGAAAAGTTTTGTCAATAACTTAGAGGGATAAATGTTAAGATCTGAGATGCTGTCAGAAGTTTCTCACTTGACATCCAAGATTTCAATGGTTCGATGCGTGAACTGACGTTTTGTGTGTGGCAAATTTAAATTGGATATTTTTTTATTAAATACTGAAATCAATGAGTTGAAAAAGAACATCTAATTTGATAAAACGTTATTATAAGAAAATGTAATGATTCTTCAATCTGTGAGTTAAATTATTTAGGTAACACATTAATTAACTAATTTAAACTGACACCTGATCAAGCTATGCTTGAGATTAAATTTTACTTCTACTTGTATAACAGTATAGAGACCTCTCCCAAGTAAATCAAGAGTCCGATTCCTTCCATATTTGATGTAATAGTGTTTCCACAGAAATAGAGCCACTATGATACAGTAAATGGCACAAAGAAGATGAACTAGAATACTCATGTTAAATAACTTATTACGTTCTTTATTTGCTTTATTTTCAACACACAAGTGTACAAAAAACGAGTAGAACCACTAAACAAAACACCGTATTTCTTGTAACGCTGCAGTGACGTCGGGGAAAAATAAGCATGTCACTTACCTTATTCTAAGTAGTCCTAGCTTATATTGCAACTGAAACTGTGCTGAACTTTATCTCTAAGTAGTTTTATTTGCACATCCAAACAGTTGGATTGGAATAGCTGATGGTCCTAGATGGTTCAACAGATTGTAACATAGCTTATAATAGTGCTTCACAATGGGAAGAGGAAACTGAATACTAGAATAATGTGGTTCTTATTTCTGATGTAAGAAAAAGTTACACAGGCATAATTAATTTTGTTTAAACAAAATCTAATGTTACTGCTTATTTTGACAAAACTCTTTTAAATAAGTTAAGATGTTCAAAATTTCCCAGGCAACCTAGCACGGCGTATAAGTGTCTTGAAAAACCTTGACAATGACTATAATTTAATTTGAAAGTTTTCTGCATCACGTTTCTGCATCAGAAGAAAATAGCGACTTTGGAAGCTGGTCAGGCGGAGCACTTAGAGGGATTCAAAATAAAAATTGGCTTATGTCCATCTGTCATATATTGACTCAATTTTAGCATAATTGATCCAGTTTTAATGTGGTCAATCACATGTCATATAAAAAATTTCAACTTACATTTGAAATATTATTAAGATAAGATTTGTACAGTACCACTGAGATATGTTGAGTTACAAAACTATTCAGTCAGTTAATCAAACTGGATTTGCCATTCTGTAACTGTTGAATATTCCACAGCTGTACGACCTACATTAACAATCAGCTGATCTCAGAGATATTGCCTTTGCAACAGATACAATATACCACCTGGCATAACTAGTGAAGGAGATGTTGAAGATAACTGGAGATAACCATAGAATTTGGTTATATTGAAGGGACGGCAATCATAGACTGCATAAAGATTAATTGAAAAAAAAAAAACTGTTCTTAAAACAATCCTAAAAAAACTAGAGGATTTTGATGATTAAAATCTTGGCTCAGCTGTGCTTGAACTTTTTATGAAATTGTGCTGGCTAAAGAAGCGGCTGATATTAGTCTGTAACAAAGTAACCGTTTATTTTACACTCATCCTTTATCCATTTCACCTGTTGTGTCCTACATATTATCTAATCTAAATATAATAATATACTTTAATAATATAATAGATTATGGGGGGACTCGTATAAATCCGGTTAAGTAGTATGAGTGGAAAAGGGGTGTTGCAGAGAAAATCACTATGTATATATATCTTATGTAAAATATTTCTCTACGTTTCTATGAAAAGATAATTATTTTTTAAATCACAAATAGAAAATATTTTTACACTTGTCTTGTCATTCAACACCTTTTACACAAGTTTGACATGTGAATCCAAACAAGTTTCTGAAGAACGAGACATTAAACACAACGCCACATCTACTCGGGTGTTCTTAGAGGTACAAAACAAACTTTGCCAACTTGCTAAAGTTTCCTTACAAATGTCAATGTTCAATACATAAGTTTTCTTTACAATAGAATTCCCTCATAAATGTTCACCTTTAAATGGTTTTGAAAGCAATTCAGGGCAAAGATAAATTCAAATGATTTAATATCATTAACTGATATTGGTTCGAGAAAAATCTTTAATACATAAAAATAACATGAAATTTCATCATATTATTCTTATAGATAGGTTTTAGGGCTATAAGAGACCTAGGTTTTTAAAAAAATTGTTTAACTATTTTATTTATCTGATACGCTTTCATTAGCTGATTTTGCAGTTGGCCAGAACCTACTAATTTTATATAGGTACCCAACATTTTCTCTTAGTTCAGCTTTTCAAATTTATTGAGTCAAATGACAGGCTATGACCAACAAAAACTATTTCTACAAGACTGACTAAAATGTATTTGAAATTTAATAGGAGTGTTGTTTAAGAGAAATGTTGCAATAAAAAATTGCAATAGGCCTATCAGTTTTCACTATTCTTAATATCGAAACTATGGTAAAAAATATGATTACGGTGATGGCCTTTTTACCTTACAGTTTTAAAGGTACATTTGCGACATTCGGTTTAATATATATATTATGGTATAGGTAGACATAGCTAAATCTTCTTACAAATCTTAACTTATCCTTTCATAGCTATATTTATTAGGTGGTTTGACCAAATAGATTAAGTTAGGCGTAAACAATCCTGGATTACAAAAGTTAGAGAATTGCTAATTGAAGCAACTAGCTTTCCCTCAATGTGTTTCTTTGTGAACACAATCGCCGAGTTTTTACAGACATTAGTTGCGAGTTCCAGAATTAGTTTTCCTCCCCAAATACCAAACCACTCGTTGAAAAGTAAACTAACATGTAATCACTGTTCAAGATTGCCGTTGTTTTCTTCCTTTCTCCACTAAAAGTTCTTTTAAGCCTTGAAAGTAAAAGAAACTTTTTCTAATAAAAAATAAAAATACAGTATTATAATTTTTTATCATGTTATTGAAATTATTTGATTGTTGCAAAAGATATATTTTACGTGTAATCCTTGAGAAAATATTTTAACAAAACCATTGTATTTAATGATTTATATATGCGACATTTGACTTTTCACTTTGTAATGAAAGCTATCTTACAATAATTTATTCTATAATAATCCCCTCATGTTCCCTAAAATAAATTTTTTCCATACGTCCTAGTAAAAAAAAACCTATTTCCCCATATTTGTAAGCAGCATTAAGGAGGAGAGTATTACAGTGCATAAGAGGAGAGTACTACAGTGCTTCTTTAATCAACTGTAGAAAAGAGTTGCACACTTAAAGACACTCCTCATTAATAGAGGAAAAACTTAATGTCCCACTTTATTTTTAAGTAATTCTCTTTATTCATGACAGTTATTGGCTGAGTCCACTGTAAGATAACTAATTAGTTTACTAAACGTTTTTGGTAGCAGCTAATGCAATCTAAAATTGAATATTTTTAGTAAATGACCCAATTTTTCATTATGTATCGTTAGCTGACTAAAACCTATAGCTACATACTCAAAGGGGAATTACCAAACAATAAAGTTGAGAAAAGTTTCAATAAAAATATATCTGTGAGTGTATTGCAGAAGTTCAAAACTGTTCAAGGAAAAAAGTTCACTCAAAGCTGACAAAATAATTGTAGCGAATTATATCACGTTATTAAAGACATTTGACACTTTACTGAGTTTGTTGTAAACTTCTTAGGAATTTTGACAAAGATTTTCTGAACCGTACATGAAGTGTGGTGATATTTTCGCTATCATTTTGTAAACTTTTGTAAGACTTAATCCAATAACTTGACAAAAAACCTTAATCACATAGGATATTATATGAAAAAAAAAACATTTGCCAGAAGGTATCAAATATAGTTATTGCTCATGCTGTACATGTTTTAATCTTCTACAAACCAATGTTTTCCAGGGAATGATTTTGTTCCAGGAAAATCATTTTAAATCAATGTAACTTTGGCAGAAGAACCAAACGTATTGTGACTTGTATTATATTTCACCAGGAAATGTCTTTTACTAATAAAGGAAAAACTACAAGCAAAGTAACGATTGCATGGATTTCAAACTGCGGTTTCAAAATTGTAATAATATTGTTTTTATTTACGACCCATCAAAATTAATATCAATATTTCCGTATAAGTTTAGTTCTATTTATCAAAAAGCCCAACGTCAAAGGGCTCTAAGGAGGATGACTTTTTGTTGTGAAAATCCCCACCAGGGGAACACTAACTGTTTGTCTCTAATGTTCAGACTTTTGGCAATTGACAA